GCGAGGGTTCTTGTATAGGTTCTTGTAGTGACATTCTTCTTATATAAAGGTTCTTGTAGTGACATTATATAGGTTCTTGTAGTGACATTCAGCCAACGCGACTCGACAAAATCTCGGACGACCCTCGGCATGAGAATCTTTCTCGTCCCCTCAAAGCTGTGTCATTCGAGGCGATTCTATCAAAGCTTCATAAATAGTTAAGTACATTTTCCCTCGCCGGGCCGTCGAAGTAATCTTTGAAAATGGGGGGAATCAAATAGTTTTGAAGAAGGTCCTTTGAGTTCGGTTGATGTGCGTATTCAAAACACGAGGAGGGTCAAAACGTGTTCAGAATTTAAATTCATGTCACTGAACTTCTGAAAGAGAAAATTTCCATCGTTCAGAAGGAGCGAGAGGCTCGGGTTTTAATTGCATTTTTTTGCAAGCAGCAGATGTGTTCTGAAGTCGACTAGATCCATAGCAATGAATAGTTTTATACGATATACGAAACATTACCGAGCATTAAAACGCAGAAACCCTGTTTAAAATGTCTGACAATCGCGATTTTCTGCGCCGACTTTCATTAGCATGTAAGAAGGCAGCAGACATTGCTTTAGTACGACACGGACCCCAGAATTTTTTTCAAAATTAATTTTTAATTAAAAAAAATTAATTAATTAATTAAAAAATGATTAATTAATTTTTCAATTTCGGGAGAAAAACGAAAGATATTTATTCTTTCAGCAAATATTACACTTTTCATTCATTCGAATGTGATTCAAATCCACTCAATTATGGTTGTTAAAACTCGATTGATAACTTTGATCAGCTGTAATTAGGAGTTGAAAATAGAGCCTGCTTTATGCCCGGTCCGTACGTATTAACTAGTCAGTCTTGCACGTCATGCCACGTTTGACAAAGACGACAGTGCGTGTGGACACAAAGTTTCACATCTTGCATAACAGTTTAGAGGTTTGACAACCCTGAAGAAGACGGATGGGCTGAATTCGTGAATGAAGCTTGCCGTCTAACAGCGGTTGCTGGAAAGGTAGAATACTCTGAGGAGTCAATTGAGAGAGTCAATTGAGAGAGTTAATTGAGAGAGTCAATTGAGAGAGTCAATTGAGAGAGTCAATTGAGAGAGTCAATTGAGAGAACGAGAAGATTTACGCGAGGTCAAGAGCTTTCGATCTTGCCACTATCGAGGAATATTTTGATGTATGCCACAAAATATTAATAGCGCAACAAAGGAAGAATGTGACATTTCGCACAGCCACCTCTTCGTCTCACTGCTCTGAAATAATTTTGAAATTGAAACCATTTGTTGCACCAACACGAGAATTATATCGTAGTCACAAGTGACTAAAACTAGAAAAAACTTGTTATACAAGGCGTAAACCTGACAATAACCAGCTTGCCTAAAATCCAGTTTAGAATGCGAATACGAACGGATTTCTCCGTTTCGCTTTTGATCTGAAAGCAAGCCTATAGACACTAAAATTGAATCACATGACAAATTCGTTTTCAATACAATTGAGAAGCAAGTTTTTATTTTGGTACTGACTAAATGCGATTGTGCTCAGTAAGTCAAGGACCCTTGGGAGCAGCAATGCATTTTAACAGAAATTCTGAACAAATGAATCTCATATGAATAATGCACGTCGTCACTCAAAAGATCGTTACTTACTAAAACAGCGATTTTTTTCAGCGATCCGAAGCATATTGATATCCGATGATTCGAGTGCCATGTTTTTTTGCAAGTAACACGAGTGCCGAGAGGACAGGGTGCATATATGGGCCTTGGAGCTATGCCAGAAACATCCGACTTATTCAACATCTGCTACATTCACAATTTTCGCAAGCACTCAACGCGACACAGTTATAATTCACAGATGAAAAAGTGTCACAGGGCGTTGCTGCAGTCATATGCAAAGAGGTTGAAATTACAGTGTTTATCACACGAGTAAATTTAGTGTTTGCAGTATAGCAAAAACATTCAGCATGAAGCGAACCATTCCTAATTAGGCGGCATATTCTCATTGGAAGTAAGTTAATGCAACAAAATGGTCTATGGTGATCCAAATATTTCTCAAGAGAATTAAGTAGCTTTAAAGCGTCACTGTGAACATCGCTTTGTTTATTATAAAAATCTTACTGGATGAATTTGAAGTAATTAGTACATTACAGAAATGCGAATATAAACGTCTCTAGACCGCGCAGCTCTTCAGAATAAGGAAACCTGACTAAAAGAATAACATCAACTTACCAAATAAAACCATACAAGAGACCGAAAAATCCGAAGCCAAGAGCTAACTTGCAGACAATTATTTCACCTCAACTTCAACACTCGATCTACAGTCATGATAATAAATTTCTGGCGCAAAGGAACCTCCCTCCTCTTCTCTCCTAATCTAACGATCGCCTGGGCGTACACTGCTAACTAAAAGGCAATTTAGAGTATTGGAATGGCGGCGAGGATAGGGATCGCGACGAAATTTAACGCTCAAAGTTTCGCACTTTGGCCTTCCAAAGGACCAATCCTCTGCTGGAAATCGGAGGCGGATAATAGGTAGCGACTCTTTACCCTACTAGTTGACACGTGCTGAAACGCATCAGATTTCGTGTTCAGCGTTGCAGGGGCGCCTGTAGTGCGACACACGGTAATGGAATTTCGGTGACCGGGAGGTGATGGTCTTTGAACCTCATGGACCATGATGGCCAATATAGCAGATGGTGTGTTGCGAGGGAACCATAATAAAAAGTTAGTGAGAGTAACAAAAATTTGATTAATTTTGGTGAGCTTGGGAGTGATGCAAATTACAATGGGATAGGACGAAACCTTAATTGAAAAAGGTTTCATTCCGAGCGCCGGGCGAAAGAAGTTTTCAGTTTGTAAATAATACTGTAAAAAAGTTTGTAGCACAGCTCACAACTCTAAATGAAAGGTAATGTATGTATAACGCAGGGCCTAATAGCAATTTTGTGCTGTGCAAACGGAAGCTGGTGACAAAGTTTACGAAAATATAAATGCCAGGATTAAGCGCGCTTTAAATTGTCTACAATCGAATTAAATTAAAAAAGCACACTAAAGATTAGATCAAATTAATGTTCAAATTCGTTAGCCATTCAAATTTAACACATCAAACGAAAGAAAATAATCAAAGTCAAATTGTTTCGTTTTTAGAGAAATGTATGCATTTCTAATAAATCTTTTAGCCATGTGAAACCATAAGTACAAAATCTGATCACAGCTTTAATGGGAACTTATCCTAAACTAGAGATCTAAACAAAACCTTGAAGGTTGGTAGAACTGTACATATAATAAATTGTTATGTAGGAATGCCAGGATTTAGGAAGTTTGATTTTGTAATTAGTTTTCAACGCCCTTTGATGTGACCTTAAGTGGTAGTTCGTTTCGGTCATCATCTTGTGTGCTGATCTTGTCATGGAAGAGCGTTTTATTGAGCTGTGTATTATTACTTGTGATGCCTGATGTTTGAGAGTATGTATTTTGCTATACTGATTTATTTTCGAGGCAATTTTATTATGTTTATCATGTAAGGAGTTATCATGCACGTTTTCGGCAAGGTATTTCAAAATATTCTCATGACTATTTCATGAATGACTCGAATTCAAAACCCGACTCTCAAATCTTGAGTCCATTATTTGAAATAACATATGAAGATCAATCTACTACGTCAACGGGAATTTTTATAATTGTGCATTATGAAGCGCAAAGGTAGGTAAGCAAGATTAGGCTTGTTTAACTTGTAAATTTTCACAATAAATTTGGTTGTATTTCTTGGTTTTAATGGCATGTTATTAAAATCATTACATGGCTTGGTAAGGTTTTGTGTCTGTTGAAGGACTGTCAAATCCTACAAAATGTCCTTCAAGTCCTTCAAGTGAAAAGTAATCAACATCCTAATAAACTTAATAAACACATCAAGTCATGAGTGATAAATCACGATCAGCGATAAAATTTGAATTTTAATTTCTAATCCTATCACAAACTTATATTTCAGGATTTCAGTTAAGACGTGAATTCTGTAACTTGTTTTAGTCTCGTTCTCTAGCAAACAATTTTTTTATCTGATTTATGTCCATTTATGTACCCTCGCTTCGTCGTGAATAAAATGAGACTTTCACGACTAATGTAATATACTTTGGTTTCAGATCCACATCTGGCCAGTGTCAGAACTTACGCAATGCATTCAAAATATTTTATTCGTCCTTTATCCAATCTTGCTCCTTTATTTCCATCACACATTCATCAGGAACTTCCAAACTTTTTCCGCACACACTAAAAATCACGATTGAACCTTGGTCACCCTTAACATCGCTATAAAATTTCGGACACCTTCCTCTCACGCATCCATGTGTTTTTTGCGCATTTTCTCATGTATGTAAAAAATGCTCTATTGTGCTCGTTATGTCCGTCGGTCCGTGACTTCACGTTTTCGTCGACGAGCAAATGCGCTCTCTGTCACTCACTGCAGTGAGTCCTGAGTTATATTTTTTGTCACCAGCGAAAACCCTCCTCTTTACATATAGGAATATTCACAATTTTCAACAGCGATAAACCAATTAATACATTACCCTCTACAGATGCCCCTCCTTTTATCTCGTAGTTTGTCAACAGCGAAAACCCTTATCTTTACATAGGAATATTCACAATTTTCAACATCGATAAACCAATACATTACCCTCTATACATGCCCACCTTAATCTCGTAGTTTGTCACCAGCGAAAACCAGTCACTTTACATAGGAAGGTTGGCAATTTTCAACAGCGATAGAGCAATACATTACCCTCTACAGATGCCCACCTTAATCTCGTAGTTTGTCACCAGCAAAAACCCTTTTCTTTACATAGGAATATTCACATAGGAATATCCACATTTTTATTCACATTTTACATAGGATTTTTACCTTTTACATAGGATTTTATTCACATTTTACATAGGAATTTTCACAATTCAACAGCGATAAACCAATACATTACCCTCAATAGATGCCCACCTTGATCTCGTAGATCCACAGAGGCGTGTCGTTGCTCATGCAGAGCTCGCCGCCGAACACGAGCAGCTTGCCGGCGGCGGCGACGAGCGAGTGTTGCTGCAGGGACGGAGGGCGCGTACCGTGGTCGTCGCGGATCTCCTGCCATGACCGCGACACTGCACAGTGACACAAAAACCGTGCAAATAAATATATATTTTAACGTATATTTTAACGTATATTTTGAACGTAGATGCTGCAGGTTAGACATTTTACTTGTTGGCAGTACGTGGCAGTACTTATTTTACTGTTTACTGCCACGACCTCGACACTGCACAGTGACACAAAAACCGTGCAAATAAATACATATTTTAACGTATATTTTGAACGTAAATGCTGCTAGATATTTTACTTGTTGGCAGTACGTGGCAGTACTTATTTTGCTCTTTTACTGCCACGACTGCGACACTGCACAGTGACACAAAAACCGGGAAAATAAATATACATTTTAACGTATATTTCAACATATATTTTGAACGTAGATTTTGCTAGACATTTTACTTGTTAGCAGTACGTGGCAGTGCTTATTTTACTTTTTACTGCCACGACCGCGACACTGCACAGTGACACAAAAACCGGGCAAATAAATACAAGTATATTTTGAACGTAGATGCTGTTAGATATTTTACTTACTTACTTACAGAATTTCGAAATTACAGGCCGAAAATAAAATGTCTTGATCACCAATATTAGCTTATGAAACGAGTAAAGCACCCAATATTCGATTGCATTATGTGCATAACACGTGTAAAAACAAACGATGAGTGTATGGAAACAACGCTTCAATTCAGTTCAAACTGAATATTAATTATTCTCAAAAAACGCATTCCTCATTCGCAAGCACATGAAAAATAACTTATCCTAAGTAGGTAACCAAAGCAACACAGAAATGAGTGTATTAAGCATCATAATAATAATTTTTACTTACTTCAATGAACAACAAAGATAAAAGACAAACTCAGAGATAATCATACGTGCATGATAGTCATACAGGTAGACAATTGGATACATTAAATGTTTCTTTCTCTTCATTCTTGCAGCGACCAACGAAAGGTGAGGTGAATCACTCTAGCCAAATGGCTGCTTACCTCGCAATCATTTATTCATGAAAAAATACAATTATTTGGAGCCTGTATATGCAGAATTCAATAATAAAAATACCAAACAACCTTGAGCAAATATTCATGCACTAATCTGAGAGGCTTAAATTATTTAGAACTTTCTCAGGATTTCTCCGCCTTCAATAATAATGTGTTATTATAGTTGTTAAGTCGTTAATAAGTGTTATATGGTGGCTAATATACATGGAAGATCGGGGCTGGAATGAGATACGCTAACGAAATCCTGTTTTAAAAGGCAGCATGCGGAGTCGCAACTCTCAGTCAGAATACAGAAGAAATTCAACAGTATAACTCATTTTAGATCATTAAACGGGAAAAATAACAGTAAACTTAAACTTCACTGGACGACATCCTGCATGTGTACCTGACATCTGATTCGGTGTACAAGATCTCTGACGAGCAACAAGATGTATGGAAGCAACAAGATGTATGGAAGCAACAAGATGTATGGAAGCAGCAAGATGTATGGAAGCAACAAGATGTATGGAAGCAACAAGATGTATGAAAGCAACAAGATGTATGGAAGCAACAAGATGTATGGAAGCAACAAGATGTATGGAAGCAACAAGATGTATGGAAGCAACAAGATGTATGGAAGCAACAAGATGTATGGAAGCAACAAGATGTATGGAAGCAACAAGATGTATGGAAGCAACAAGATGTATG